GTGGCTTTAAAAAGTTTATTATTGTTCTGGCCTGAAACATGTACTTTCTGGGGCTGGCATTGTGGTACAGCGGGTTGAACCACGCCACTAGCACACTGGAGTGCTCCTTGGAGTCCTGGCTGCTGCCCTTCCCATCCAGCTTACGGCTGGTGCACCTGGCAAGTCAGAGGAAGATGGCTCAGTTGCTTGAGTCCCTGCTACCCTTATGGGAAATGGAGCTCCTGGCTCCTGGCTTTGGTCTGACCCAAACCCAGCTATTGTAGCCATTTGGGAAGGGAATCAGCAGATGGAAGACCTCTCTCTTTCACCATCTGACAATCTGCCTTTCAAACAAATAAATACATCTTTAAAAAAATAAGATTAAAAAAGAAAAATGTACTTTATAAGCAGAAACAAGGGTAAGTCTCTGGTTATATATTTTTTAATCTATCTATTTTACTTGAAAGTCAAAATGAGAGAGAGAGAAAGAGAGAAAGTCTTCCATCCACTGGTTCACTCCCCAACTGGCTGCAATGGCCGGAGCTGCGCCAATCCAAAGCCAGGAGCCAGGAGCTTCCTCTGGGTCTCCCATACAGGTGCAGGGGCCCAAGGACTTGGGCCATCTTCTACTGCTTTCTCAGGCCACAGCAGAGAGCTGGATTGAAAGTGGAGCAGCTGGGTCTCAAACTGGCACCCATATGGGATGCCAGCACTGCAGGTAGCAGCTTTACCTGCTACGCCACAGCGCCAGCCCCTCTCTGGTTATATTTTAATTTTAGTAAAATTATATCAGCTCAGACTCATTAGTCTTGCTGCTATTAAAAAAAAGAGAGAAAATAGCAAGTGTCAGAGAGGATATGGACAGACTTTTGTAAAGTTGGTAGGAATGTAAAAATGCTGCAGCCATTATGGAAAACAGGGTGGCAACTCCTCAAAAAATTAAGCATAGGATTATATGACTCAGCAATTTCACTTCTGGGTATATATCCAAAAGAATTGGAAGCAGAGTCTTGAAGGGATATTTCCACATCAGTTTTCCTAGCATTGTCAATGGTCACCAAAAGGTGGAAGCAGTCCAATGTTCATCAGTGGATGAATGGATAAACAAAATGTGGCGTGTGTATAATGGAATATTTTTTTATTTTTTATTTTTTGACAGGCAGAGTGGACAGTGAGAGAGAGAGACAGAGAGAAAGATCTTCCTTTGCCGTTGGTTCACCCTCCAATGGCCGCCGCGGCCAGCGGGCTGCGGCCGGCGCACCGCGCTGATCCGATGGCAGGAGCCAGGAGCCAGGTGCTTTTCCTGGTCTCCCATGGGGTGCAGGGCTCAAGCACCTGGGCCATCCTCCACTGCACTCCCTGGCCACAGCAGAGGGCTGGCCTGGAAGAGGGGCAACCGGGACAGAATCCGGCGCCCCGACCGGACTAGAACCCGGGGTGCCGGCCCCGCTAGGGGAAGATTACCCTAGGGGAGCCCGGGGCCCCCGGCCCAATAAAGGAGTTTTTGTTTAACTTTGATTTACGGGGAATTCTGACACATGCAATACTGTAGCTGAACCTTGAGGACCTATGTTTCGTGAAATAAGCCAATCACAGAGACCGGCGCCGTGGCTCAATAGGCTAATCCTCCATCTTGCGGCGCCGGCACACCGGGTTCTAGTCCTGGTTGGGGTGCCGGATTCTGTCCAGGTTGCCCCTCTTCCAGACCAGCTCTCTGCTGTAGCCAGGGAGTGCAGTGGAGGATGGCCCAAGTACTTGGGCCCTGCACCGCATGGGAGACCAGGAGAAGCACCTGGCTCCTGCCTTCGGATCAGCTTGGTGCACCAGCCATGGCGGCCATTGGAGGGTGAACCAACAGCAAGCAAAGGAAGACCTTTCTCACCTTTCTCTCTGTCTCTCTCACTGTCCACTCTGCCTGTCCAAAAAAAAAAAAAAAAAAAAAAAAAAAAAAAAAGCCAATCACAGAAGAGATATACTTTATAGCAGCCATCTAAAAGAGTCAAATTCATAGGACTTAGAATGGTGATTGATAGGAGGAAATGGAGAGGTTAATGGGTTGTAGTTTCAATTTTGCAAAATGGAAAATTTCCAGACACTAGTTATCCAACAATGTGAGTAGGCCAGTACATAACACTACTAGATGATAAAATTAAAAATGGGTAGGGTGGTAAACTTTATGTTGTGTATTTTAGCACAATTAAGAAAAACAAAAAAGTGTTCTAATATTATGCTTAAATAAAACAAGGCCAATGATATACAACCAAGGCCTTACATTTGTAATGGAGACGAGCCTGGCTGACTAGGAGTTTCCCAAGGGGCTCTTGAACATACTGGCAACCACTTTTCAGTATTCTTTTCTCCCAAATAAACTTGGATCTGAGATTCTGGAAGATGCCACTTGGTTCCAATTCTCCAAACTCTGGGAATAAGCCAGGGAAAGAAGCAGAAATACTTAGGAACAGAGTGAGCTCCATCAGTGACAATAGGATTTAGGTCATCTGTAAACGCTTTCCTCCTTCAAAAGACCAGTGCCGAGAAACATTTGTATCATATAACACTTCAGCCCGGGACTGTACAGAGGTCTGGATTAGCTTCCTTCTGTCCTGGGGAGCAGATGCTGGCTGTTTGTCTTTGTTTCCTCCTGTTTAACTGGTTCTGAAGCCTTCATTTTATTTCTCCAGGATGATTTGTTTTCACATGCTTTTGTAAAAAACAAACAAACAAAAAAAATGGCTCTTGGTCAAAGCTGCTGGAAAATTCAAATAAAGATGTCTCCTGCCTTGCCCTTGCCTTGGAACTCTTTCATCAGGGAACCCTTGTCACACGTTCCAGCGGCTGAGCTGACGCTTGCTGCTGGTCAGGTTCCTGGTTGCAGTTACCCAGTTTCAGTTCCTGGAGAAGGACTGCGATAATCTCACTGTCCCGTGTTCGCCTTCATTAAAAGTTTAAAAGCAAAGGCCACGCGTACCTTTCTGGTTCAGAAATTGCTGCAAGTGCAGCTGGTGCTGTGGCCCAGCAGCTTAAGCCCTGGCCTGGAACTCTGCACTCCAGCACCCCATATCAGAGTGCAGGCTGGAGTCCCTGCTAATGTGCATGGGAAGACAGCTGAAGGTGGTCTAATATAATATATTATAAATAACATATTATTATATAATAATAATATATTACCTGGGCCCCAGCCACCCACGCATGCAGGAGATCAAATGAAATTCTTGGCTCTTACCTTCTGCCTGGCCCAGCCCTGGCTGTTGCAGCCATTTGGGGAGTGAACCAGTGGATGGAAGATCTCTGTCTCTCCCTTTCTCCTTCTGTCACTGGAGTGTTAAACAAACAAATAATAAAGTCTTTAAAAAGATTCAATTGTTCAGAAACAGAATAGCTGTGATTTTCAAGGATAAAATTGCTTTCCCAGCGTGCATTGGCTCCATTTGCACTTTTTAAAAAAGATTTGTTTATTTGAAAGACCCAGCACCAGAGAGAGGGAGACAGAGAGAGCTCTTCTGTCTGTTGGTTCACTCTCCAAAAGGCCACAAAGACCAGGACCCGGCTAAGCTGAAGCGAGGAGCCAAAAACTCCATCTGATCTCCTGCGTGGGTGACAGGGACCCCAGTCCCAGTCCGTGGGCCACCCTCGGGGGCCTTCCCAGGCACATTAGCAGGGAGTTGCCTGGGAAGAGGGCAGCCTGAACTTGAGCCTGCACGCTGTGGGCTGTGTGAGCCCCCGCTCCTCCCACCACCTGCGCCTCTTATAGAACCTTCTCTGTGCTCAACAGCAAACAGCTGAAGGCTTTGAAATCGCCCGGTAGTTTCCATTTTCAGGTGTTTCCACTTCATTGCATTTCAAAGGCATCGTTTGGGGGCGGGGGAGGGCCTTGGGAGAATCACAAAACGCTCCCAATACCTCTGCAAATAAGGGACTCACTCGGAACATTTCAGGTGGCTTTTTATTATTGTTATTTGACAGACTGAGAGACAGAGAGAAAGGTCTTCCTTCCGTTGGTTCACTCCCCAAATGGCCGCTATGGCCGTTGCTGCGCCGAAGCCAGGAGCCAGGTGCTTCCTCCTGGTTTCCCATGCCGGTGCAGGGGCCATCCTCCACTGCCCTCCCGGGCCACAGCAGAGAGCTGGACTGGAAGAGGAGCAACCGGGACTAGAACCCGGCGCCGCAGGCGGAGGATTAACCACGTGAGCCACGGCGCCGGCCCTCAGGTGGCTTTTGAAAGTCTCCTTTTGCGCCCCAGCCGTTCTTCAGAGCCATCTTACCACCGCCTTGGAGAACCACCACGCAGACTTCCGGGGGCCTGCCAGGGCCTCTGAACGCTGCGCATCTCCGGAAAGCAATGCTGCGCGCAAAACGCAGCCGCCAACGGGCGTCCGCGCTTCCCCGGCCGTGGACTCGGCGGTCCCTCGTGGCGCGCGTCCCTCTGCAGCTCGCCGTGTCCAGGAGGCCCTCCGCGCTCGCTCGGAAGTCCAGGTCACGACTTTCACTTAAAACCCTGCAGCCCCGGGGAGTGGACAACGTCCCCTTCTCCCTCGGGGTGCTTTTTTTGGGGTCGGAGCCGACTGTGCGTGGCATCCAGCGAAATAACGGGCAGCTCCGGACTTTTCCGGCCGCATTTTACAGGACTGCAAGGCGGGTGGGAAGGCCGGAGGCACCTCGTTTGGACTTTTTGGTTTAAGAACGTATTAGATGTCTTCAGATAAATGAAACGGAATTCTTAAAAAGCGAGGGGGCGGGGAGAGCTGGAACTCACTGACCGCGGCACGCCTACGCCTGATAACAATCCCTGCCCAAGGCCTAGAGCGCTCCGGCCATGCCGACATGGAAAATCGCGTGGGCTCCACGAAGATGTCCAGAATGCCCACGCACAGGACTGCGCGCCTGCACGCTGCAGCCTGGCGTGCAGAGCCCGGGACCGAGGAGGGAGGCCACCGTTCGGACGCGCCCCGCCCCCGGGCCGGCTGTGGGGGCGGGGGCGGGGGCGGGGCCGGCCGGTTCGGGGCGGGGCCGGGCGCGGCGGGCGCGGCTCCCGGGCTCCGGAGCGGAGCAGCACCGCGAGCTGCACTAGAGGGAGCTGCCGCCGCGCCCGCCGCCCCGAGCGCCGCCTCCCCAGCCCGCGCCGCCGCGATGGCGGAGGACAGCGAGTCTGCAGCCAGCCAGCAGAGCCTGGAGCTGGACGACCAGGACACGTGCGGCATAGACGGGGACAATGAAGAGGAGACTGAGCACACCAAAGGGTAGGAGACGACGCATGGGCGCCCCAGGGTGAGACCGCGCGCGCTGAGCCGCTCCGGCTCCCGGGGTGCGGGGGACCCTCGGCCGCTCTGGCCCGCGATGGCGTCGCTTCGGCCCCAAGACCATTGTGAGGTCTGCGTGGCGTGGCTCTCAGGGGAGCGCGCGGTGGGGGCGAGGCCCAGGGTGGGCGGGGAGGCTGGGGCCCCGAGCCTGGGACCGGCGCCGCGGCTGTCACCTGCCGCGCGCCCCCGCTGGCGGGCTCGCCCATCCCCGCCGGCGGTCCGGGCCCCGTGGGGGCGGCGCGCCGCCCTCGCCCGCGGGTGGCTCCGGGTGCGAACGGCGGAGAGGCGCGCCGCCCTTCCCTTTGTGGCAGCCGCGGCGCGTGGGATGCAAGTCGTCTTCCTCTGATCCTTGCCATCCCTCCTGAAGTCCTTTCACGCCCTCCCCCTTCCCGCAGCCGCCGCGGCCACCTGGAAAGAAAAAAAAAATACGTGCTGGGGAGTGGCGTGGAGCGGCGCCCCTGGGGGCTTCGGGTCTGCTGGCGGCGAACTGTGCAAAGTTCTGCGCCCCTGGCCCGGCGAGGGGCGCCGCGGGGCCCCGGGCTCTGCGCGCTCCTGGGCGCGGTGGCCTTTGCCGCCGCCACGCGGGTCCGCCGAGCGCCCCGGAGCTGGGCTGACCCGCCGAGCTGTCCGGCTTTGCCTGGCTGGTGATTGATCTCCGGAGTCAAAGGCACCAAGTGTTCTAACACTTGATCGGGTTTCTTAAGCCTTTGCGCCTGTCCTCCTTTTCTGCGCGGCAGACTTGGTCGGCTCTCCTGTTGGAGAGAAAGATTGCTTCAGGTCCAGGCCGGTATTGAAGTTGTCTTTGTAGAGGCAGGGGGTGGTTTTAAATAAAGACTGGTGTCATTTCATCGGTGGTGTTGGCATCGCCCTGCTGGACTGAGACGGTGCGCTGGTGCGGAGCCGTTTCTGCTGCCCCCTTAGAAGTGAGATTTGGCAAGCATGGTGACCGTGTCGAAGTGGGTCATCCTAAAAACATTAGACGGAGGCCTGCGTCACGGAGAGCTGATTTGTTCCCTTCACTGAAGAGAGATTCTTTAAATGATTGAGGGTTGGTGGCGTCTAGTATTTGCATTCTGTTTAGTATCTACTTTAAGATTTATTTTAAAAAGGAACATTTATTGACCTTTAACGTGCTATAAATTATTAAATAAAAGATAAAAAAAAAGCTGACTGCATGTGTCTGTCGTTTGCAAGAGCTTTTTTTAAAAAAATTTGCAGTGAATACTTCAGTGGCAGCTGCAAGTACTGAATGTTATTATTCAAATCTAGAATTTTTTTTTGAGAGGAAATTGTACAGAAATCTGAGCCCAAGTTCCGTTTGTGCAGTGATGGAGATTTGCCTGTGATACGTAAATATAAATACATGGGAACTTCAAAAAGTTTGTGGGAAATGGCACTAAAAGATACGTTTATTCCGGTGCAAAAAATTTTGAAATCCCTGCATACATGGTTTTGAAACAATAGCTCCATTGCTGGAAATGGGCCCAGATCCAAGTATGATAAATTACCGAGATAACTTCAGCACAGGTCTGCTAACCTTTCTGGTGAGACCCTGCACTTCTCGCTTCTTTCCTGTAATTTGTGCTTATTGTTCTTCGTGTGAGTGACATTCTAGGTTAATTAGGGCTTCATTTTTGTACAAAACAACAATGTCCGTGGTACAAAGAATTCATCATGAATGCACATTGATCGGGCACAGTTCCCTGCTGTCTTGCTCGAGGCTGTTGGAAGTTCCCAGAGTAGCACCCACAGGCCTCTTTCGAGGGTTACAGTTTTGAACATCACTCGTTAATTATATGTTAGCACAGTTACTCACAACTTAGAGATGCGTAGTGGACTGCGCGTTGTTGTAACAAAGACTAGATAATCTGGTGGCAGTTTCCAATGGGAAAATGTTATTAATGTATTTGTGTGGTCTATTTACATGTAAGGGAATTAGTAAAACTCCAAGCTGCTGCTCTTGTTGGATTGCTTTTTGGGATTTGACAATTGCAGTGTTTTGTGGAGTGATTTTATTTGGCTCATGTACTGATGATAGTGCTTGGTAGAAACTTCCGGTTTTCAGTCCTCAAGTTGGAAAGTGTTAGAATGTGCGTGACTTCTCTTTCCTGCAAGTGGCGTCTTCATTGTCCTCTAACTTGAGCGAGTAGCAGATAGTGAGCTTCTGGAGAAATGAGTGGGCGTTACCCTTCCCCTTTGCAGGGCACACTGTCCCGCCATGCAGCTAGCGCAGCCGTTAAGGTGCTTCTGAAGTGGCACAGGGGTTAAGCCACCTCCTGGGACAGTGGTATCACTTAATGTGCTTGGGAAGCAGAAGAAGATGACCCAAGGACCTGGACCCCTACCTGGGAGACCCAGATGGAGTTCCTGGCTTCTGCCTGGCCCAGGCCTGGCTGTTATGGGCACTTGGGAAGTGAACCTCTCTCTTTCTCTCTTGCTTTTTCAATTAAATTAATAGATAAATAAATAAAATCTTTTTTTTTTTTTTTTAAATGATGCCACTTGGGATGCCTGCATCCCATTATCTGAATACTTGGTTTGAGTTCTGGCCCCTCTGCATCTGACCCAGCTTTCTGCTGATGTGAACCCTGGGAGGCAGCAAGTGATGGCTCAAGTACCTGGGGCCCTGCCACCCATGTGGGAGACAGAGATTGAGTTCCAGGCTCCTGGCTGGAGCCTGGCCCAACACTGGCTGTGTGGGTATTTGGGAAATTAACGAGTGGATGAAAATCTTACTCTCTATTTCTCTCTCTCTCTCTCTCTCTTCCCCTGCCTTTCAAATAAAATGAAAGTAAGTAAATAAAAATTTAAAAGGAAGGTTGTTGCTTTGAGGCCACTGGTTAGTGATTAGTACATAGAGTGAGAATTTTCTGATTAGTACCCTGGTGGTTTGAAATAATTAATTTACCATACCATTCACTGTAGTATACTTGCTAGCTGTTTTTAGACACACATAAGTTAAAAGTAGAGCCTCAAGTAACAGGAGGATATCTAATTCTTGCTTTGCACCAAAATGTAAAGATTGCATATGCTTTTGTTTTCATAGTTTTCTTTATGGATTAAAAAGGATATGTTGTCTTGTGGATAACGCCAAGTGTCCATGAATGAAATATGAGGCATTTTATGTTTCATTGAGAGCAATAGCATAGGCATTATAAAATACTTGGCTCTCACTATCTTTATGTGTTATTTTTGATGGAAAAATGTACTCTTTGCTTAACTTTTTGGCTCACCCAAGTGTGGAAGTGGCACACTGTTATAAGAATTCCATGAATCCCAAAAAACATAGTGGAGAGGAAGGATTGCCAGTTTTAATCTGTGGGACTATATTCAAAAAAATAAAGTTTTGTTGTTTTTAAACAATGTGAAACATTTAGAACCAGGCTGACCGAGGATTCTCTAGAAAGAGCTTTTGTAACACTTGATTTACAGGAATAAGTACATTCGTCTTTGTAGAGAGCTTGAGGGAGCCGGAAAACTTCCAAGCAAATGAAAAGTTGTAAGATTTATACTTTCCTTTTTTAAAAATTAATGAATGAATTTGAGAGGCAGAGAAAGAAAGAAATCTCCCGTCCACTGGCTCCTCCCCAGTGGCCGTAACCGCTGGGATTGGGCTCTGCTGAAGCTGGGAACTGGGAGCCCAGTCCAGGTCTCCGACACCGGCAGTAGGAACGCAAGGAAGCTGGAATCGGGAGCAGAGCTGGAACCCGAAGCCGAGCAGTCTGCTGTGGATGCGGGTGTCCCAGGCGGCGTCTTTTTTTTTTTTCCTTTTAAGACTTATTTGTTTATTTATTTGAAAGTCAGAGTTACACAGAGAGAGGAGAGGCAGAGAGAGAGAGAGAGAGAGAGAGAGAGAGAGAGAGAAGGAGAGGGAGGGAGAGAGGGAGGTCTTCCGTCTGATGGTTCACTCCCCAATTGGCTGCAATGGCTGGAGCTGTGCTGATCCGAAGCCAGGAGCCAGGAGCTTCTTCCAGGTCTCCCACGCAGGTGCAGGGGCCCAAGGACTTGGGCCATCTTCTACTGCTTTCCCAGGCCGTAGCAGAGAGCTGGATCGGAAGAGGAGCAGCTGGGACTAGAACCAGTGCCCATTGGGATGCTGGTGCTTCAGGCCAGGGCATTAACCTGCTGTGCCACAGCACCGGCCCCCCAGGCGGTGTCTTAACCGCTGTGCCCAACTCCCAGCCCATTTATGTTGCTTCCTGGCAGAGACAGCTTCTTAGATGAATTATTAGAAAGATGATTTTTGTTCCCCTGTAGGTGGCCAGGTTATTTACAAGATGAGTCTCCTAGGAGCTTAGGTAGATGTGGGTGGATCTTTAATGTTTAATACTCTACCCATTATCATTATTATTTGAGAGACAGACAGAGCTCCCATCTTCTGGTTCTTTCCCCAAAATGCCTGCAACAGCCCAGGCTGGGCCAGGTAAAAGCTGGAGCCAGGAGCTGCATCCTGGCCTCCCACCTGGGCGGCTGTCACTGCTGCCTCTCGGGATCTGCATTAGCAGCAGCAGGAATAGGAGCTGGGGCCAGGACTTGGACCTGGGCGCCCTGATGTGCGTGTGGGTTTCTTATCCATTAGGCCAAACCCCAGCCCCGGTACTCTTAGTCGTTCCTGGTGGGTTTGTGCTTTCTGTTGGTCTTCTGGGGGGTCTGGGGGAATCACTGAGGGCAGTGCACACTGCTGAGGAGCTGGCTGACCCTCAGTGCCTTCTTGCCCTTGCCCAATTGATGGGCATCTTCTCCGCTGGCAAAATGCTCCTGCGAGTGGTCGTTATCTCGTAGTCTGTCACCCACAGTAAGCAGGTTCAGTGTCACAGAGTCGCTCCATCGGCCTCCGATAAAATGAGTGTTTAAGTTGGTCGCAAAATCAAATCTCTCTTCTTGCTTTCTCCACATTGCCTTTGAGAGTGCGCATGTTCTAGACAGATGGGTGATGTTCA